CTGCCCCAAGGGCTGCGCAGCATGGGGCTGTCCCAGCCACGCCTAATTAGATGAGCTGGGGACAGGGTGCAGCTTCTTCTCTGGCTCTGCCCCCTGCCCCCAGCACGTGGCCAGGGGAGCTGCAGCATGGCCTGTGCCCCGCCCATGTACATATTGGACGAAGGCACGAGGTAAGTTCCCGCACAGAGCTGGGGGCGCCTCAGGGCCAGGCTGGGGCTGCGGGGCATGCGGTTGCCAGAGCCGGGCTGGGCAGGAGGCGCCCAGCCCAGAGGCGCTCTACCTCCAGCTGCCTCCTTGGCGGTTCAGGTTCTGCTAATGTAGCCTGCATGGCTGAGGATGGGGGTCTGCATGCTGCTGGAACAGCAGGCTGAACAGCCCTGGACTAGCTTATCCTTGAGATCTCTTCCACATCTCTGCAGTATATGCCTACAGTTTCTATTTAATTAACCACAATGACCATTATCAAGTTAGTAAAGGATCTCAAGGATAAGCTAGTCCAGGGCTGTTCAGATCTGGTGAGGCTGTGGGACCCAGATAACACCAGCATGTGTTGCACAGGCTGCACACTGTAGGGGTGGGCCCCTAGGACCCCCTCACTGCACAGGGCTGCTCCAGCAGCATGCAGACCCCCATCCTCAGCCATGCAGGCTACATTTGCAGAACATGGACCACTCCTTCCCCCCCCAGGCCTGTCCCCCTTGCACAGCAGTGGGAGAGGTGGCTGCCCAGACCCATGCCCTACATACTTAACTGCTTGCAGACCCCATGTAGACTGTGGGTGACATCCTGGACCTTTGTGGTTTACATGTGGCCTGCAGGTAGTTTGCTGGGCAGCCCTAATGTAGTCCAACCCCCTGCACAGAAAAATTATGTCCTGTTCCTAAGCCATACCAAACATACATACTTTCTGAAAAGCACAACTTCCCTAGGCACATTTCCAGACCCATTTCATTGTCACTTCCTGTAACTTCATTGGTGTCAAAGGTCATGTGACATCACTTCCTGATGTGATAGCACTTCCTGTGAGATCTTTGAATATGGCTTGCCAGCCCACTGGGTGATAAAAAGTTTGTGATCCGCCCTACATTCAAAAACGGTTGGACACCCCTGATCTATACCTTTCTCATGAGCTGGTGGAAAGGCTTTCATCCCTGCAACCTCTACATATCCCTAGCATAAATTCTGCTCATTCTGGTCATGTATATTTGAGCACCAGCCCTAAGTTTGAAGACAAGACGACAAGCCCCACATAAACCACTGCAGGACGCATGAGGCGATTCACAGGAGGAAATAGGAAGGAACAAAGTCACGAGATCTCTGTTTAGTTAGGCCAGTTAGATGGTTCAGACAGGGCCCTCAGAGACATCATGGCTACCGTAGCTTACAGAAGTTAGTTACTGCTATACGTAGTAGCAATTTGAAGAAGTTAATCATTCAGCATCAGACTACTATGAAGAGTCAGTCCTGACCCTTCAAAATAGCTGTGAAAGTTTTAACATTTACAAACATAAATAGGATCCAGATTGAGACTTAGTGTATGCAAGTCGATGAAGATACATCTACTTCCAACACATCTGATTTTAACCCAGGAGACATCACTAATCTTTGCATTTATATCGGGCTCTTCACCACAGTACCTAAGCGCTTTTGGTTAGTAAAAACATTTTCTGTAATATGGGTGTACTTGGTAGCCGTGTTGGTCTGAGACAAAAAGACATACAAAAAACTAGAACTCTTGGTTCCAAAATGATACCTTTTATTAGACCAACTGGAAAATGGAGGTGGTCTGATGGTAGGCAGGGAGGCAAAAAAGCTTCCTTGTTGTTCTGCAATGAAGTTTAAAGTCCAAAATCGGCTAAAGTTCAGTATCTTCCATGTTTCAGGGGTGTACTCCTCCAGGGAAGGAATTCTACCTGACCAACACATCAAAGAGCTACTCAACACAGCTCACAAAGACACTGTCATGGACCCAGAGGGACAGACTTCCATCTTCAGCTCCCTCTGTGTAAAAATGAAGTTTATTTCCTACCTATGGGGACTTTTTACCATCTTTGTACCATCTACACTTTTCCTAGAGCCTGACAAAGGGACTTTGATCCCAAAAGCTTGCAGAAAAAGATGATTTTCTTGCCATTTTCCAGTTGGTCTAATAAAAGGTATCATTTTGGAACCAAGAGTTCTAGTTTTTTGTATGTCTTTTCTGTAATATAATTTTTTCACTAGAAAAGTGCCTTGTTTTGGCAAAAATCAGATTAAGTCCTGAACCAAAAAAAAAAAGATGCATAACATCCGAACTTTTTTATACTTTACTGTGTGCATGTAACACAACACCCCATATAAAGCAGTAGTAACAGAGAGCTTGATCTTACAAGCGGCTGGGCATTATGTCCCTCATTTAGCAATTACTAAATCCTGTGGTCAACTTCAAGCAGGTGAATAGTGCTGTTGAAGCCTTAACCTTTACAACCCCTTGCCTTGGGAAACACAAACAATTAAAACACAGAGACTGCTTTTAATTCTTAAAATTATTTTGATAGATTAATTCAAATTATTCTGTGTTTAGAGCTGGCTGACTGCCCACTCATCAATAAGATGACGTCTATGATCCAGAGAGGAGGTGAACTGGAGGTCAAGGGAAAATGCATGCCCTATTTGCCATTAGTTTCGCTTCCAAGCTTTTTGCAATTCTGATGCCAAAAAGCTCTGTTCCTTTTGCTGGATGATAAAATGAATTCCATCAATTCCATAGATCTCACATTTAAGAGATCAGCTGATAATGTGGGTAACATGCCTAACAATGAGGATTACACAGGAATCATTCAAGCAATGTCTTTGTTGGCTTTTTTTATGTTAGTAGACTATCTACACCTTGACCATTCTCAGTTTAATGCAGGCTTCTCACCACTAAGGCATGCTCTCATCTCCACAACAAATAGCCAAAGCAAGTATTCATCAGAGAAATGATGACCTAGTCCCACTGAAGTCAAGGGGAATTTTGCCACTGACTTCAACTGGGCTTGAATTTTCTCCATAGCTTCCCAAATTCTAGAGAGTTAACTTATAACAGACCAATGGCAAAAGCTAATTCAGAAGTCTAGGGTCCTTCTGCCTAATTTACAGGGGAAAAATGAGACTGTTTGGAACCTCTGCTGAACTCAGCAGTTACCAGTTAACTGATTGCACTAGCAAGTCAATTAGCATCATAAAACATGAATTACTGTTATATGGAGGCTTTGAGGTGTGACTATTTATCTGCAAATAATCTAGAACTCTTGGTTCAGAGATCATACCTTTTATTAGACCAACTAATAACTTATCTAGCATCTTTCTTTTAATTTTTCTCTCGTCTGCATACTGTATCCTGCAGTGGCCCACAAAATGCTTTCTAATTTGTCAATATTTTTTCTCTCCAGCATACATATGAAAACAAACCCAAATGAGCCATGTTTGCTGGGATAATGCAGAGTCACCACATTTTGGTGCAACTGGAGAAGTGGGTGCAAAGCTAAATTCTCTAAAACGCTAAAGCTAGGGTGGGGGAGAAGTCTAATCAGATTTTAGTTTCTGAAGTCATGAGACTGTTTTGCCCTGGGAAAAAAAAAAAGAAATGAGGTACTTCTCTACATTACCCAGTTGCAGTTTCCTGACGGTGTGGTTTCCTGTATGACAAATGAAAAGAAAAAAAAAAAAAGCTGAGGGCTTGTGAACACTGAAATTGTTTTTGTATTAGTGTTCCTCATGTACAGGATTTCTGGAACGTCATAAGGTTTTCATGAATGTAATTTTTTAATCAACACCTCACAATCCCCCAGGTCTTGTACCGACCTTACTAGAAATACCTGTGGCACTCGATTAGAGAGTGCAACTGGCTGGGGTCTTCCCACAGAACTTCCCCTTTCCACCTTGAGCACCAAAGAGTTTGTACGATGGGTGTGCAGGGCTTTTTAAGAGTTGTTGGTTGTAGCCAGGTTGGTCTAAGGACACAGGCAGGCAAGGTTCTTTGGGTAGAGGTGATAGCTTTTATTAGACCAACTAAATAATTGGACAAATTTTTCTTTGCAAGCTGTCGGGCACAAACACCTTTCTTCAACCATAGTCTGCTGGACTCTCCCCATGCCTGAAGACAACCAGCAGCTTCTCCCTATGCCTGAAGAAGGGCATTTGTGCCCAAAAGCTTGCAAAGAACAAAGTTCTCCAATTATTTAGTTGATCTAATAAAAGATATCACACATACCCAAAGAACCAGAGCTTTAACTGATTTGAGTGCCTGTGGGAGGAGAGGCAGAGATTTCTCTTGCAAACCATCATGGCTACATCACTCCCACACTACCACCACGCATGAGGGGCGTGTTGTTCAACTGCAAGACATGCACCACTTTAGGTCAGCCACAGCAGCTCTAGCAGCACTGGGGTCAAGCCCCTTCAGCCTGGCTGGAAAGACAGGGCAAGGGCTTGTGCTTTGGGAGCGAGAGGAGTACAGCCAAGACAAGCAAGGACGAGAGGAGCATACTGCTGGCCTGGGATTAGGATCCCTGGCACGCAGAGGGTCACAGCCCCCGCCCCGAGGAAGAACACACAACCACGAAGTGCGCACTCCCTGCTCTGGGCACAGCAGCGGACACGCCACAAGGCTTCACCCCTCATGCGTGAGGAGCGAAGAGCCCGCACTCCACTAGGGGGCGCCCGCGCCCCTGGCTCCAACTGTGAGTCACGAGACGCCGGCTGTTACTAGCAGAGTGAGGTAACCTGGCGGCGGGCGCGCGGCGGTTGGCTGAGAACGCTGGTGCGGGCACGCTCATTGGCTCGCGAGGCGGAGAGGCGGAGCCTGCCACGCTATAAATAAGGGCCGGCACGGCTCTTTCGGATTAAACGCCGCTTCGCTACAGCTCGAGTCGGAGGCTTTGGGATTTGCTGTACACCACCGCATCGGGTCATGCTCGGAGCCTGACTAGGCGCCCGGGACACGAATGAAGAAGCAGCTGCTCCTCCTGTTCACTCACCGGGGACTTGTCAGCCGAGGGGGCCGCAAGGGGAAACGCCGCCGAAAATGGCCTCGTTCCATATCCGCGCCGCGCGCCCAGAGGACTGCCCGGATCTACTGCGCCTCATCAAGGTGCGGGCGGAGAGGCGGGGACTCGCGCGTGCGCAGTGGGAGTTGGGCATCTCCCCCCCTCCGCCCATCCTTTTTGCCGAGGGGAAGTCAGTTCGGAGGAGGGAGGCTTGCGCATGCGCGAGGAGGGGGTGGAACACTGCAGCGTTCTTGCCTGGGAGCCGAACGCGCCTGCGCACTAGCGCGGGCAGAAGCCGACGCTTACGTGATAAGCAAGGGAACGTTGGGGCCTCCCCTACAAGTGTAAGGAAGGGGGTGGGGCTTGTGCCTGCATGCAGTCTTGCCAGTGTTGACAGCTTCTCTGGTCCCTTCTAGGAACTAGCCAAGTATGAGGACATGGAGGACCAAGTTGTACTGACCGAGAAAGGTAAGGTGTCCACCAGCATGGTCAGCAGCTCCCCTTGGTTGCCATCCCTTGCTGGTGACTGGCACTAATGCCTGCCCCCTTTGTCCCCTTGCAGATCTCCTGGAGGATGGCTTCGGGGAACACCCGTTCTACCACTGCCTAGTGGCAGAAGTGCCCAAGGAAGCATGGACGCCAGAAGGTGAGCCTTGCTGCTGCCACCGGTCTTAACGTGAGAAACGCGCAGGCCGCACGCAGCCTGGGGTAATGCTGCTGATTGTACGTAAGGCTTCCGCTGTTAAAACGGGGTAAGAGGAAAAAGGTTTAAGTGTTGAGATGCAACTGTGCAGTTTGCAGTAGCTTTCTAAAGTAATCTGCCAGCCTGCTTTAATTCCATTTCATTAAATGGTTTTCTTGTTTGACCCTAATTTACCTCTTATGTAATCCTGTTGAATCACATTTTTTCTTTAATTTGTCCCCAATCTTCAGGTTACAGTCTCTAGCTTCGCCATGTACATGGCCCTTCCGTGTACATGGATGGGCGGGGAGGTAACTAAAAGATCCGTTACACAATAAAGTAGATGATCATGATATGAGGTAAGGTCTACAGGGACAAGTACTATTCCCAAACCTTTACCAAAAAAAAACACGGTAGATCAGAAATCCTGTATGCACTGTCTTCCTATGAGCATGTGCGAAGCACTATGGTAAAAATGTGATTTCAATGTTTTTAGTTTTAGGATTGAATGGAATGATGTGGGAAGAGTTGGCTCCTCTTCCAGGCTGAGCTATGGAATTGTTGTTAGTCAAAGTAGATAATAGCTTCCTGTTGCAGAGGATAGAGAGAGACTGATGCTATCAGTGGGAGCACAGAGGAAGCAGTGTTGGAGATGCCATTACAGCGACTAATGGCTGTGTGAGAGCACTCCAGGCTTCCCACAGAGCAATTTTTTGAGAAATTGGAAGATGAAGTAGTGCTTTTTAGATTACATTTATTATTAGCTTTATGCTCAGATTCTAAGGAAGCAGAGTTGAGCTCACTATCAGCAGATTCTGAACTGCCGTGTCAAACTTAGTCTGATTTGTATTCCAAAGTGGACATACTGATAAATCATTAGGGTATGTATGTATCTGTACCAGGAAACCTTGGTTGTTTGGTGCTTATTTTTAACTGTAACACTGGCTTTGAAGATGCAGGGTATCAGAAGGATAAGTTCTCATTTTCTAAGGCTGATTCAGATTGCAGGAATTTGTCTTAACTGTAACTTACTGCGCTTATTGTAAACTTCCATTCCTAAACCCAACCTATGATAGTTGCAAATTTAATAGTTGCATGTTACAGAAATGGCCTAGGCATTAAGACATGCATGTGAGACTAATTTTTTTTTTAAGGCAACAAAATTAAGAAGTTTTTACTAAAGTAATAAAACTTTTTGTTTCAGAACATTGTGTTGTGGGTTTTGCCATGTATTACTTCACTTATGACCCATGGATTGGAAAACTGCTGTATCTTGAAGACTTCTATGTGATGTCTGACTACAGAGGTATGTTCTAATCTATAGTAGTAGATCGGAAAATATATTTTTTTAAATGGTGTGTTTAAGTAGTACACTACTGAAATATTTTGGGGGGGGGTTTTTTGCTTTTTAGGGCTTGGCATTGGTTCAGAAATTTTGAAGAAGCTGAGTCAGGTATGTTGTGGCTTTTTCATTCTTCCATTAAAAAAAAAAAAAACAAACTCTAAAGCACCAAACAAGTAATATGGTAATCAATGCTGTTTGTTGGTTTTACAGACTACTGCCCTTAAACAGTACTTGGAAATGAGGAATTTAGTGGCATTAGTAGAAACAGTTTATAGGATGTATTTTTCTCTCACTAATCCTAATTCTGACAAGCACAATAGAAAGCAGACAAATCCCAGAGGATAGGATAAAGGAAACCAACCACACTTAACACTGCAACCACTGTTTAGTGCTATCCATTTCAGCTCTGTGATTCAAGCTGCAATTTGTTAGCCTGTTAGTAGAAGGATAGCCAAGTTCATGTATAGAGCAAATCTCATTTGCTGTGTCTTTTAGTCTACTCTGTAATATTTCCATAGGTTGCTGTTAAAAGTCGCTGCAGCAGTATGCACTTCCTGGTGGCAGAATGGAATGAACCTTCCATCAGCTTCTATAAGAGAAGGGGTGCCTCGGATCTGTCAACTGAGGAAGGGTGGAGACTTTTCAGAATTGACAAAGAATACTTGTTGAAAATGGCAACTGAAGAGTGAAATTGTTCCAGCACGTAACAAATCCTATCCGCAAATTATACTTTGAATAAACTCTTGCCTTATTCTTGCTTTGTGTACAGTCTGTAGTGAAATAAATAGCACAAATGTTCAAGAGCTTTACCAGTGCTGAGAGTAGTAGGATAATAGCTACTGTACCCCAGAGCTGACACAGCTGTGAAGGCCGGTTTCTCTGCTTGTTACACATCTTTTACTAGTGTGGGCTTGTGATCTTTAAATATATATTTGAATAAAACTTCATTCTTGTAAGTGTAATGCAAATGTGTACAATGTACACACGGGTAGGGTTTGTTTCAACTTCATTTTATAAAAATATAGTATTTTCATGTTGGTTTTGTGTGTGTAAAAATAAAGTAGTTTTCTTCACTGTGGTTGGCTGGTGTTACAAGTGGTTTTTAATCAGAGTTCAAAAGTAGATCTTCAAAACAGAAATGCAAAACTCTAGAAGTCCAAAAGTTCTGCATTTCTTTTTGTCTCAGACCAACACAGATACCAAATATATCCCTGATCCTCAAAACATCCCTCTATCTAAATCAGGGGTGGGCCAGGTGCAGCCTGCCATGCCATTCTATCTGGCTTGTGAGGCCCCTAAAAAATTTAGAAAATTAATACTTACCTGCCCCTGACTGCCTGTCATATGGCCCTAACAGGCTTGCCAAAACTCAGTAAGTGGCCCTCCACCTTAAATAATTGCCCACCCCAATCTAAATCCTACCTACCCCAAAAGACCAACTCTCCAGTCTCTTTCTATACGATCAGACCTCCATCCTTTCAGTCCTTGTACCAAATCCCTACTGCTTAAGAGGATCTACAATTCAGGTGTTCTACCTTAGTTGCAAGACCAAATGCGACAGAGAAGCAGGGAATGCATCTAACAGCTTGTAAATTGGGGATAGAGAAACACAGGTGCTGTGTTCCTGTATCCCTCAATAACTGTGGTATCTGTGAGAGACCCAAGTTCACTTAACTGCCCAAGAAGTATCAGCTCTAATCACTGTTATTGCTGGGGGGAAGCTCTCAACATTTCATGATTAACCTCTTCATTTTGCACAAAAAAAATTGGTGCTGGGGGATTGAATATGATATGCAGGCCTAGTAATTTAAGAATCACTTCTGAGGAAGGCATGAAATTGTACATTGATTTAACTAAATTTTTTTTCACATGTTATCCAACCTCTGGAGACATCAACAGAAGTCAGATTTCTGGTAGATTCCTTATGAACAAAACTTAACCCTAGTTGGTGTTAAAGTGGGTACAGATGAATTTAGACTAGATCTACAGAAAGACTCAAGTGCAGAAGACCAACAGCACGATTCGCAAAATGCCTCAGTTGCTGCTTAGCTGTAGTGTCTAAAGTTCTGTTTCTGGGCATAACCAGAAGTACATTAGCCTGAGTAATGGCCAGCAGCTAGGTGATTAGATATCACCTATACGCTGTCAGGATCTGCAAACAGGATTCTTTCACCTTTATACTTACTGAGTGATGTCAGGTGAGCATTCAGAGAATATTAAACAGATCAAGTTTCACTTAAAAACAGCTCCAGGAGGAGATTGCCCCACCCCTTAATGTAACATACAAGTGTCATTCAATCTGGCTCTGGAGGGGCTAGCACAAATAGGGGCAGTGCCCATGACTAATTACCAATTACCCACCACACTAATTACACTGTTTCAGTGGCAGCTGAACAACCAATAACTTAACCTCTGTAGCATCCTTATGTCATCTGTTGTGCCACCAGAGCTGGGCCTGGATCTGGCTTGTAAGGAGCTCTATGGTCTGGATCTGGCCCAGGGAACTGAATCAGCTTGATGCCCCTGTCCTAATAAATAACTGTTTAGAGTACTCACTCTGGAAGTAAGTAAAATTCCTCTCTGCATGAGGTTATTCAAAATTATATTACTTCAAGCTAAGCTTTTGGGAGGAATGTAATACTCAGTTCTTCCTGTTGAAAACATTACGCTGTACAAATTGCTTAAATATTTAGTAAGCCAGGGAGGAAAAAAAAATGGCTCAACTGAGTCTTTTGCAAAGGGCAGGTCAAAGTAATATAGCTCAGCCTAAGGCCAGTCACTGTGACCTGGCCACCCCCCCCCGCATCACTGTGTGGCACTTCATTCACCCTGGGCCAGTGCTTCCCAAAGCTTCATACTGCAATCACTGCCAAGACTCGCCCCCATGGTGAATGCCACTGGTTCCAGTAGCAACGGACTGTAGCACAAAAAACAGCTGCAGTAGGGTAGTATAGACTGCCAGGGGCGGGGGGGTCTCTGTTATGGCCCACACTCACTGCGCGCCAATCACCCCCACCACAGAAAGCCACTACATGCTGCTGCTCAAGACACAAAAGTGCTGCAACACTAAATATTACTGTCTCTACATCCTGTGGTTTGCAGCAGCTCTACATTGGCGTTAAAGCTCTATCTAGTAAGATAGGTGAGGTCGGAAGATTAAAACTAGCGTCAGTCCTTACCAGTGTAAGGACATCTTTGTTTTCAAATTAATTAATTAGGTATTTAGGATACAACCATACAAGTGCTCCTGATCCACTCTCATAACCGACCCCTGAAACTGAAGAAAAATGGCATTGCTGCCTGATTGGAACTACAGGGAAGTTTACAGAAATGTCTCTACCCAATTTCCTTTGCCAGTATTCACAATCACATTTTCTTGCTGCAGCACAAAGATTCCCTTCGCTACACAGCAGAAAATGAATCAAGCAGCATATTCTTTGGCTGACTATAATAATTTCAGACAAACAGCTGAAAGCAAATAACTTTCAGATGTGTGATTATGCCTGCCATGTCATTAGTTAGAGGTTGCTCAAAAATACCCAAACAGCTGAAAAGTTGTCACAGAATTCTGAGCAGCAAATATTCAGAGAGGGTTATCCTAGCGGAGGAGCTGCTCTGTGGTAAAAACAAATTAAGGTCAATACAGAGAGGCCTCTTCTTGTATGATTTTCATATGACTTGTGGAATCAGCTTAGGAGACAAATTGAAAACATAACGGTAACTAAAGTCATGATTAAGGATTTTCAACTTGCTACGCTTATGCATAAACATTACATTGACTGACCAAAGCATAAGGAAAAAACGTAATTCCCCTTCCTGTACATCCATAAAAAAATACCAATATCACTATGTACACACCGGAACTTGCACTAGTATGACAGTATCAGTGAAATGTCACCGTACTCCTAAGCAGTATATAAGTTTTATTCAGTGATCACTCTTTGCATAACATACATACATGCAAAGGCTATTTCCAGGTTGACAGTTCCTTTGGTACAACAGTTCTTTTCCTCTCTATTTAAAAAGAAGAACCCTCTTCTTGTACTGCAATTATTTTCTTTATAAAAATGAAGCAGCACTTTGGAAAAACATAGATTCTTTAAAGATAGCCATAACTTTACTAAATAACTTACATAGGCACTAGGAGATGTAAATTGAAAAAATAAATTTTTAGACACCGAACACACACACAAAACAAATAAACAACCGTTGTAAAAGCAATAATGCTCAGCGAAGTACCCATCTCAGTGTGTGTGTTGTGCCTGCAGGTGGTAACTGATCTAAAGCAGACATTTTGCAAGAGGAAATACATATTCAGGTCTACTAAACAGATGTTTGTTTGGTCTGGGATTTTCAAAAAAAGCCAAAGTCTGCCAGGGACCTAAATAGCATTGCACAGTGTTACCACAGCCCCACAAGAAAGTATAAGTGTCAAAAAACTACCATTCAACTCTGCAAACTAAAGTATGACACACACATACTTTTATACTGCTTCTCCTCATGCTACCCTCTTTATCTGCCTTGTTAAAGGTGACCTGGAAAGGGGTTGCACGTCTTTCATGAGCTTTTTCCATCATATATGAAAAAGCCCCTAGATATGTTTTTTTTTCTTTACTTTGCCTTCATCTGACCTGTCTATCAACCCTGCCTCCTACTTTTTTCAGGGAGGGGGGCAGTCTCCAGAAAGCGCACCAAAATACTGGGGTAGAACCTTTTTGACCCCAACTGAAAAGCCTGGGTTTAAACAACTGTTAACAAAAGCTAAATGTTTCAAAAAGTCTGATAAAAATAATCCTCTCTCAATTGTTCATATTTCACATCCTTGATATGAGTAATGTCAATCCCAGTAATTCACCTGTAATCCACAATGTTGTAGGAAGACCATGGTAGAAAACTCCTAGACCGGGCTTGTCCAACATGCAGCCCGCCAAGGCAATTTCTGTGACCCATGGTGCTGCGACAGGAAATGAAAGTAAACACTATTTACTTTCGTTCCCACCCCTTGTCCCTCCCCCAGCCCCTTAGCAGCTTCCTAATGGTTGCTGAAGGGCTGGGAAGGGGACAAGACTTCCATACGCACTGCGTCAGCTTGAAGTTTCCAACGTGGTGTGTGGGGGAAAGGGAGTAGCCATGTGCCGCTTGGGGCAGAATGAGCCCAGCCGGAGCAGCTGGGGCTAATCCTGCACTTTCCCCCTACCTGTGCTGGTCAGTCCCAAGCGGCACACAGCTCCGCTGCCACCTCTGCTGGCTGGTGCCGACCTGGGCGGGTCTGTCCCATCCAAACCAGCATGCAGCTAAAGTTGGCTTCCCATGTGCTGCTGGGGATGGGAGGAGGCCAGCCAGGTTGGCACCAGCCACCAGAAGCGGTGGCGGAGCCACGTGCCACTCGGGACTGACCAGTTCAGGGAGGGTGAAAATGCAGCTGAGCCCCTGATGCTCCGGCTGGGCTTGTCCCGTCCTGAGTGCCAGACCCTGCACTCCAGGCTCACAGCGATGAGGCCACCGGGGCTGTCTGCGTGGGTGGCTGGGCACCATGGTGAGCGGAGCCATGTGGGCAGGTGGGTGAGGGGCTGAGGTGCAGCGGCCACCTCACTCCAGCCCCCCTCAGGCAGCGCCTGCTCGTGGGGCTGCACTGCTTGGGGGATGGAGATGTGGAGCTATTTATTTCTCCCCTTCAGTCTCTGGGGCAGTAGCTGGCTGGATGCAGAATGGGTCCCTCCTGCCCCTGCCCACCAGCAGCTACCATGAACCTTGCAGTAACAGGCAGGCGCAGTAGGGCTACACAGGCAGGGTCTCTCTGGCCCAGGACAGAGAGTGTTTGAATATGGCTCACCAGCCCATTGGGTGATAAAGTTCATGATCCAGCCCCACTTTCAAAAAGTGGGAACACCCTTGTCCTAGACAGCGCAAAAAATGCTAAATTAAATTTAAACTTGTGGGATCTGAATATAACCAACTATAATTCTCTTTTCCAAAAGGGCTAGAAGAGCTAACAATATGACATTGAACTGGTACAGTTTATGAGGAAAGGCAAAGGTAATATTTACTTTTGACTGCAGCTCTACCAATCATATGAAG